GGCCGATGTTCGAGGGCGCGGAGGTGGCGGGGCTGCCCCCCCCCGGGCCCCTCCTCCGCATGGATTGCTGCGGGCCCGGCCGGGGCTGCCTGCTGCCACGGTGCCCCCCCCCGCCCCGCACCGCCCCGCGCTGGGGCGCCTCCGGCCGCTGTACGTACCGGGACCCCGAGCTGGGGCTGGGGGGCTGGGGGCGGAGTGCGGCGGGGGGGGGGGAGATCGGGTTTTGGGGGCGGGGAGGGGGCTCTGCGCAGGCCGCACCGCGCTGGGGCTGCGCGTACGGTGCTGAGCGCTGCGTGCGGTGCGCGGTGGGCGCCGAGCGGGGGGGGAGCGGGGCGGCAGCGGCTGCTGCGTGTGTGCGCCCTGCCGACCCCTGCCCCATTTCTGTGCTGAGCGATGGGCGGGGCCCCCCCCGGCTTCCCCCCTCCCGGGAATGTCGCTCCCCTCCCAACCCCGTGAGCGGAGCCGTGCGCTGCCCTCCGTGTTTGGGGAACCCCTCTGCCCCCCCCCGCTCCGCTGTGCTGTCCCCGATCGGCCCCGCTGCTGGGATGGGGGGGGTCCCATGTTCCCCCTCCCCCCGGCGCAGCCCGGCCCCGCACCACGTGCGGTGATTGCGGCCGCAGAGCTGTGCCCGGTGGGACTTTTTCACCCCGCCTGGTGCCGGGGGGCGGCGAGGCCCTCCCTGCTGCAGCGCCCGGTGTTGTGGGGGGGGGGAGCTGACGGCTGCGCCCCCCCATATGTCCCCCCATTGTCTCGGGGCCACCCGACCTTTCTGCTGTGATGGGAGCGAGCGCACGCGGGGCCTTTGTCTGCAGGCAGGGCGCTGCGCCGGGGGGCTGCGGGGCCACGATCCCGCTGGAAGCAGCGTGGTGAGACCCCCCCACACCCCCCCCAGTCCTGCAGCGCTCACACTGCTGTCAGCCCCCCCTGCAGGCCCGCAGTGCCCCAGTGTGAGCTGTGGGGCTGCCCGTGTCCTGGCGCCGTGCCGCACTGCTGTGCCCCGCAGCTCAGCCTTGCCTCAGTTTCCCCAGGAGCTCCGCTCGGTGTCACCGCGTGGCTGTGGCTGCTGTCACTGTGCTGCTGTGCCTGCAGGCTGTGCTGCTCCGGGAGCTGCGGGGAAACCGAGGCACAGCCGTGCCCTGGGGGGGCTGCGCTGCCCCACAGCCACGCGGGGTGTCCTGGTGCTTTACAGAGTGCTGTGGCACATGGGTGGCACTGCGGGTGCAGCACCAGAGCACCACGGGATCCTTCTGTCCCTGTATCCCTGCGGTGCCCATCTCGTGTCACCCGGGCTGCCCCATCCCCACTCCCTGTGGTGGCACAGGAGTGCTGTCTGTGTGTCTGTGTGTCTGTGTGTCTGCCTGCAGCACAGCCCAGCACGCAGCCCCGCGGGCGCTTTCCCACACCAGGTGCCAGGGCTGTGGGGCTGTTTGACGGTGGGGTTGTGGGGCTGTGGGGTGATGGGATGGAGGTGATGGCCAGGGGCTGCCTGCAGAACATCTGGTGCACAGCTGGGACCGTTCTCTCCACTGTTCAGACTGGGGGGGCTCCCACCGCTCCATGGGGCTGTGTGCGCCCATCACGTCCCCCCCGTCACCCATCCCTGTGGGGCTGAGGAGGGCTGACCCCCACCCCCCTATGGGAGTGCTGCTGGTTGCCCCCCCAGCCTGAATGCTGCTGTGAGGGGCTCCCGGGGTGCACGGTGCCCTGGTCAGTGCCGGGGATTCCTGCGGTGCTGCCAGTCTATGGCGGAGGGGGGGGGCAAACAGCCGGAGCCCCCCCGGCACCGCAGCGTCAGATGCGTGTTGTGAGCACAGCTCTGTGAGGAGGTCCTTAAATCATCCGACAGAGGCGGTCGGTGATGGAGGACGGCGGCTGCGCCGCGGTGATGGCTGCGCCGAGGGGGGAGGTGGGGGGGGGCGGTGGATGCGGTGCTGCTCAGCGCCCGCCATCGCTGCCCCCCAGCACTGCAGCCTCGTGGCTGCGCCGTGGGACGGCGGTGCTGTGGGTGCCGTTGTCCCCTTGTCCCCATCCCGGTGCCGTGGGGCTGGTTAGCCCCAATCGGGGGCAGTGCTGGGGGGGCACCTCCCACCCGACCCCCCTTCAGAGCCGCTGCGCCCACAGCCCCGCTGCCACCCCCTGCCACCCCACGTGGCCGGCACTGCTGGCGGTGCTGCGGGGCCCTCTGTGGGCACAGGGCTCTCCTCGGGGAGTTGATCCCATTGTGGGGCACAGGGCCCTCTAAGGGGCGTGAGTTGCTCTGTGGGCACAGGACTCTGCGGGGCACGGCTCTATTTGGGGCGCAGGGCCGTCTATGGGGCGCGGGTCCCTGTGTGGGGTGCGGTGTGGGCTCCCCGCCGGCCCGGCCTTTCATATCCTGTCTGACTGGTTTACTTGGCTCGGCCCTAAGCAAAACATTCGCAAACATCCTGAGGAGCTGAGAGCTTAACCCGTGCCTGGCTGCCGTGCTGTGGGGCGGTGGGGTGGTGGGGCCTCACACGTGTGTGCCCGCACGCACTGCACTGCATCAAAGCCATGGTGGGAGGGGGGGCTCCTGTGCCCTGCTTTGGATTTTTCTGTTTTTTGGGGTTTTTTTTGCTTTTTCTATTTGTTTTTCTTTTCTTTTTTTCCCTCTTTTCCCTTTATATTTCTTTTTGTCATCACCCCGTGCCCTGGAAACGTCAGCTCACATCTCCCATCCCTGTGCGCAGCCGGGGCAGCCCCCCCCCCCCCCCCCCCCCCCGCCCC